TGATAGTGAAACAACCTGACGCCATGCTAAACAGTGATCAGGATAGGCTAATGTCATTCTGCTCCTTCTATTGTAAGTTAGGAGATCACCCGTGGAAGAGATTTTTTTCAGTACATGACAAAATGGGCATGGGCAGGACGTAACAAAATGGGCACAGGTATAGACGTGACCTAAATCATCCCATCCCACACACACCTAGGAAACAGAATGCTAATGAACTCCCCCTCAGTTTACATTTGATATAAAAGATGTTTGGAGAATAAATGGGGGTGATGTGAATTCAGGATTTTATGAAGGATCACTGAAACTCCTCCTATACTGTCGTGTGAATTGTGCTTCACTAATTCCCACACCTCCACTCTGATATGAGAAATGATTTATGCCAAGGCTGGTCCCTGACACTCTCTTTCCACCCCAACCCCCACCCTCTGCATCATGGTTGTGGATTGAGATGTGAATCCTGCACCAATGCCATGCCTGCCTGCCTGCTGCCATGCCTGCCGCCATGTTCCCTAACACGATGGTCTAGAACCCGCTGGAATCATGAGCCCCAAGTTAAATGCTTTCTGAATTAAATGCTTTTTCTAAATTGCCTCTGTCACAGTGTTCTGTCACTGTGATAGACAAGCAACTAAGGCATAGGGTCTCTTTGTGAGTCCTCACCAAATAAAAAAAACAACTTCATTATACTAAATTCTGAGCTAGTGTGGGACTACTTTATTCACGTTCTCCTACAACTTTGTAGACCACACTGGCCTTGAACTCTCAAAGATTTTCCTGCCTCCTCCTTCCAAGTGCTGGGATTAGAGGTGTGTGCCACCCTGCCCTGCTCATTTTTATCTCTTGATGCATTCTTCCAGAATTAGTTTTCATACTCAATCAAATCTGAGTAAATGTTACCTTCCCCCTTACCTCATCAACGGGGCACCTTACTCTTCATTGATGATCTCTTTCTCTCTCTCTCTGTCATTTGTTTGTGTGTATGCATGTGTGTTCTCATGTGTGAGTGTGTACACATGTGCACACACATACATGTGTATGTGGAAACAGGAAGTTAATGTGGACTGTCTTCTTCACTTGCTCAACACTTTTAGTTCTGAAGCATCCCCCGTGTCTGCCTCTTGATTCTTAGATTCTAGGTGGCTGCCACACCTGCTCAGCTTTTACCTGGGCTCAGGGGTACCAAAGTTTGGTCCTCACTTGCATTGCAAGTGGTTTTCCTATTGAGCCATTTCCCCTGGTCCACTGAAGGAAGCGCAGGTTTGCTTCCATCTCCAGGCCTGCAGAGCTTCCTCTTTCCTTTTGACAGCCTCTAAGGATGTCACAGTTTCATAATACATGGTTTCGACAACATCCTACTGTATGTATTTGATTGGCTCCAAACTTTGGCCATTATAAACAATGCTCTCATAAACATGTACATAAGCCAACCTGACTTTGGGTGTGTTATCTTTTTTATTTATTTTCCTTTCTGTGCTGAGGTGAAACCTCAGGCCTCCTGCACACTAGGCAAATGCTCTACCACTTAGTTACACCCCAGGCTTGAGTGTATATCTGAAATGAATGTCTAGAAGTGGAGTTTGTTTTCTTGTGCCAAGGGTGCATGTATTTGAAATTCCTGTCTAAGACATTTGCATGTTTTGCTGAAATGGGGTCTTGCCATGTAGCCTTGGCTGGTCTGGAACTTGTTATGTAGACCAGGCTGGCCTCAAACTCACAGAGATCTGCATGTCTCTGCTTCCTGAGTGCTGGGATTAAAGGTTTGCACCACCATACCTAGCGTCTCCCCAAGTTTAAAGTTTTATTATATTTGAAAAATAATGCATACCTGTAATACCTGATTCTGTGTTACCCTCTCAGTACAGTGTGCCACTGTACTGTACACGAGCCGGTAAGGGCCTGGAGATTGAAAGAACACACAAGAGAACTGGGTCATTCAAAAGGAGATCAGCTGAATGCCATTTATTCAAATTTAGGGAAAACCTTATATACCTAGTTGCTGCACAAGGAATTCCCCCCAGGCAGGTGGGAAATTGCCACACCCAAGATGGAGTAAACAATGCCCTACAGCTAATCACCAGGTGGGGCAGAAGGAGCACAGGAACAAACAGAATGTTTTAGCTGGCTGACCAGAAACTGTCCTCAAGATGAACCCCAGGAGCAGGGGTAGACCCATGGGCCCTACACATACCATAATAAGAATTCCAAATAGAATAAAAACATATACAGGGAAAGTCTATCCCTCGACCCCTCATCTTCTAGGCTTCCTCCCCAAAGAGCATATACACATAGTTCTACACATCATACATGTATGTGGACTTGCATATACAACTAAGTATTTGACAGCACTTGTTTTTTTCTTAAAAGGAACATAAGTTATATACCATTTTGCACCCTCAAGTTTTCATTTATTTGTTTATTGAGTTAGTAGTTTTGTGACAGGATGTCACTATAAAACCAAGCTGACCTGGAATTTGCTGGGTGACTCAGGCTGCCTTTGAACTCATGGTCTTTTTGCCTTGGGGATCATGGATATGTGCCACTATATCCAGATCTGTACCGTCAGCTATCAATTTACTGTATCTTGACATTCATTGCACAGTGTAATACTAGTAGGTCAAACTCAGTCTCTTTAAAGTCAATATGGCATTTACTTCAAGGACACTGGCATTAACTTTCTAGCTTTTAAAAATCAAGGTATAATTTACATAAAATATTATTTTTTAGCATACATTTAAACAAACCTGTATACCCTATTATGATTTGCTAGGACTTGAACTCAGGGCTTTACCCATGCAAGGCTAATACTTTACCACTGAGCTTCACCCCCAGACCTGTCTGTCATTTTAGTGTTTTTCCCATTATCCCTTCAAGGCGTTGTACCAGTTCACACTAGCACCGGTAGGATATGAAGCCCTCTTCCTGCAGCCTTGCCAAGTTCAATGCCATCAGTCTTTAGATCTCTCCAATGTATTGCTAGAAGTAATAATGCATTCTTATTTAAAGTGTCAGCTCTCTCTCTCCATCTCTGTGTGTATGGGGGTGTGAGGGGGGCGGTCTTGCTATGTAGCTCATACCTGCCTTGTCCTTGAAATCTTCCTGTTTCTACTCCACAAGTGCTGGAGTTACAGAACAGAGCAAGGTGGGAATTCCAAGCAAACATAAAGGGAAAAAGTAGGCATAGTAGAGAGGACGCCATGTAATTGCCAAAGGAGAAAGACCTCGGAACTTTACCCAATAAGCCACAATCTTGTGTTGATACACAGAATAATAGAAATGGGTTCATTTAAGATGTAAGAGTTAGTAAGAAACCTAAGCTAATAGGCCAAGCAGTGTTTCAGTGATTAGTTCACAGTTTCTGTGTGATTATTTCAGGTATGAACAGCCAGGAAATGAACGAGCAACCACCATTTTCATTTAGACAGAAAAGGGGAGGTGATGTGGATCCCCCCTTTGTATGCTGTGAATATGTTTTATTACTATTGGTTAATAAAGAAGCTGCTTAGGCCTATGACAGGGCAGAATAGAGAAAGGTAGGAGTTCCAAGCAGAGATAGAGGAGAAAAGGTGGAGTCAGAAACCCTGGAACCTTATCGGGAAACCACGAGCCTTGTGGTAACATACAAAATAATAGGAATCGGTTAATTTAAGACATAAGAATTAGTTAATAAGAAGCCTGAGCTAATAGGCTAAGCAGTGTTTTAATTTAGTTTTTGTGTGATTATTTTGTGTCTGGGCTGCTGGGAAACGAACAAGTGGCCTCCGCCTACACGTGTGCTCCTGTGCCATGGTGCTTATGTGGAGGTCAGAGGGAAACATGGTGTAACTGATGCTCTCCTCCCCCATCCACGTGAGGTTGCCAGCCTTGCACAGCAGGTGTCTTTACCTGCTGAGCCATCTCAAAGGCTTCAGTTTTCTTATTTATTTGGAGGGACGCTTAATAGTTTAGAAAATGTGCCCCTGTCTGTGATATGAACCATGGAGTTTTGGGAAACTCGATATGCACAGAAATAGCATGTAAGAACTGTACTCCCTAGTCAGGTGTAGTGGGCACACTACACTACGCTCAGGAAGCCAAGCCAGATAGCTCTCTGAGTTTGTGATCAGCCTGGCCTACATACTGAGTCCAGGCCAGCAAGGATAACTGGAAAAACTTCTGGAAAATCCTCTCCAGTGGCTCTTTTCAAAGTTATAATCAATCGTAAATGATAGTTAGGGGATTCAGCTTTCACAGCTTTGGGGTTGCTTGCTTGCTTGGTTTGGTTTGATTTTTGTTTTTATTTCAAGATAGAGTTTCACTATATAGCCCTGGCTGTCCTGGAACTCACTATGTAGACCGGGTTGGCCTCAAACTCACAGAGATCCACCTGCCTCTGTCTTTCAAGTGCTGGGATTAAAGGCTTGTACCTCTATGCCTGGCTTAAAGCTGATGCTTTTTTGTTTGTTTGCTTGTTTTCTTTTTCTTTTTAAATCTTTCTGTTTTCTTTTTTTTTCAAACAAACTGCCTTTTTTCGTTTTACATACCAATCCCAGTTCCCACTCCCTCCCCTCTTCCCATTCCCTCCACCTTTCCCCCCTCAACCCCATTCACTCCTCAGAGAAGGCAATGCTCATTGTTCTGATGAAGGACCAAGGCCCTCCCCACTATATCCAGGCTGAGCAAGGTATCCATCCAAAGAGAATGGGTTCCAAAAAGCCAGTACAAGCAGCAGGGACAAACCCTGGTGCCACTGCCAGAAGCCCCACAGTCTGCCCCAAAGCTGGTGTTTTATATGCAGTGTAACAAACACATTTCCAAATAAAATGCCTGAATATGGCCAGGTACCCAGGAAGATGAAAAGTCACCTCTCCATGCTTCCTGCCATATCTTCCCAAGCTTGCTGTGTCACACTAAAGCAAAGACTAAGTTCACAGTTTTGGTGTGCTGTCTCTAGTCTGAAGAGCTGATGTTTAACAAAGCCTTTTTTTTTTTTTTTTTTTTTTTTTTTTTTTTTTTTTTAGAACTTGGGTTTATAAAGGAGAAGAATCAGGATTTAAGAAAATAAAATTCTTGTCTGCATGCGATCTGAAGAAATAAGCTGTAAGCTGTGTTGTGTTGTTCGGTCTCCAGCACAGTGAAAAACATCTTGGGAACTGGAAATGGCACCGCAAACTTTGCTTGATTGGCTTCAATAGTTGTAGATGTGTAAGAGACGTCTTCATTGACGGGGGAATGGAGAAAGGAGCAACTCTGCTCCTGAGCTGTGGACTAGTGGCCGGCGCAATGGATGCGGGACTATAATGAAGTCACCTCTTACGAGCGTGAGCCAGGCGAGCAGTAGCCACTGGCTTTGATTTTCACTTGTTTATTCTTGATATTAAACACGTTATGCACTCTCTCATCATAAACAGCTTTCTTTAAGAATGAGGAGTTGACGGAAGCCACACATGCTGCTCGCATCCCTTATCTTTCATCTCTAAGTGTATCGCCAACCTCTATCCTTAATGTGATGACTAGTGCTTCCTGATCATTAATGAGAAGCAGTGGTCAGAATGGGAAATTCAATGCCTTTCTACCCTTTGCTCTTCTTCATCAGAATTTAGAAATTCCTCAATCTTTTCAATTCTATTCACCATTGCCTTCTGCAATGTCTGAATCTCCTGTCCAGAATTATGTTCCAAAGCCTTCATTGAGAATTCTAAAGTATGAAGTTTGTTCGTTAGAGATAACATCTCATCTTTGGACATAATTTTTATGGCATAAACCGTGCCTTCTTGTATTGACAATCTTTCCGTCAATCTGTCATAAGCTTTAGACAAAATCCGATTGTCACATTCAGCAGTTTTGATTCTCTCAGTTAATGTTTCATTTCCTACAGAAAGGGACTGAATCTTATTGTCCAAATCAGCTGTTCCCTCTTCCATAGTAAGGAATTTCTCCTTAATATCAGTCACTAATGTTTCAGGTCCTACAGAAAGGGACTGAACCTTACGATCCAGATCAGCTGTTCCCTCTTCCATAGTAATGAATTTCTCCTTAACATCAGCCTGGAGAACTTCAAACTGATTCTTGAGAAGATTGTTATCAGCCTGGAGAACTTCAAACTGATTCTTGTAAAGATTGTTATCAGCCTGGAGAACTTCAAACTGATTCTTGAGAAGTTTGTTGTCATTCTCAATTGTTTTTAAGCGTTCAATCTCTGCCTTAAGAATCCTGGATTTGCCTCGTAAAGACTTTATCATATTTCTATTATCAAACCATTTGGTGACAATGAAAACTACGAATCCCAGAAGGATCCATAGATGTGGGGTGATAGACGCCTCTTGTAAAATCTCCCACATGGTACAATTAAAAAAACTGTTAAATTCTTGAACAGTAATGTGTTCAGACATTTTATTTATAAAAGAAAAATTTTTCACCAGCAATGATCGGTTCCTGCCAGTGGTGGTCTGTGTGTTTTTGGAGCCTGTCCTAGAACTAGCTCTTGTAGACCAGGCTGGCCTCGAACTCACAGAGATCCGCCTGTCTCTGCCTCCCAAGTGCTGGGATTAAAGGCGTGCGCTACCACTGCCTGGCCGGCCTCAAACTCACAGAGATCCACCTGCCCTTGCCTCCCAAGTGCTGGTATCAAAAGCGTGCGCCACCACTGCCCGTCCAAGTCACTGTATCAGACCAAATCTGCCGCTATGGCAGCTTTTGTTGCAAAACCGCAGGTACTGGAGCTTCTGCTAATTCAGGCAGTGGGGTTCCACTGCAAAACTAAGCCAAGGAAGGCAGAATGGGCCTGTGTGGCTGAGTATGTCTCGAACTAGGCACTGGGGCCGGAGTCACGAACTAAAAAACAGCACCCATGAGGGTGCTGTGTTAGCTAGCGGGCTACCCACTTGAGTCTGGGGCAAAATAGCCCGTCATTGGACGCCAAAATGTAGCGGCGTAAACGAATGCAGACAGATTGTAAAAATATATATAGTTTTAATGTAGAAATAGACTTACAGAACCACCGTTCCCGCGGAGACCAGGAAAGTAGAAGAGACAGCTAGGAGCAGGCTCGCCAAATTTATAGGCAGACATTAGCCCGACGCGAACACGCCCCCTAAGGTCGGGACTTATCCCTACATAAAGGCATGCACCACCACTGCGGGGCTACTGCTACCCCTTTTAAAGTTGTTCTCTCTCTTCTCTCTCCCCCTGCTTCCCTCCCTCCTTCCCTCCCCTCCCCCCCCCCCCTCTCTCTCTGGCGTGTGTAGTGTGCCCACAGAAGCCAGAGGCGGGTGTTAGGTCTCCTGGAACTAGGGTTGCAGTTTTGAGCTGCCATATGGGTGCTGAGAATTGAACCTGAACTCGCAGGAGCAGCAGCTAGCGAACCACTCAGCCATCTCTCCAGTCCTGGAGCCTTCTGGTCTGTACATGGCATTTCTTTGTTTGCCTGTGAATGAGTTGTTTGCCATGTCTTTCCCAATGAGGAAAATGGGCTGCTGTGTGTCCACCCAGGCATGCCCTGAGAAATGGGCCCAGTGACCTCTTCTTTGATTCCAATTATGTGTCCACAGACTAGAATTAAACCAGAAAAGGGCCTTGCAGAGGTCTCTAAGCAGCTCAGATACTGGGATGTGTGGCACTTTCTGTCCTTGACCTTCCTTTCCCTCCAACCTTGTTGAGAGACCTTATCCTATAGCCCTTGAATCCACCCTGTGGGCACAGTAGGACTCAGACACAAGTCTCAGGGTTAGACTTTATTGGATACAGTGAAGGCTGAATGGGGCCTTGGGTGCTTCTGGTCTTCAACCAGGGGAGAGCAGACTCCACAAGGGGTTTCCAGGGTTCAGGGCAGGAGAACACACTTGGCCTCCGGCCAGCCAGCCCTTCAAGGTGTTGCTGTGGCTTCCTAAGGTCTGAGAAGTCCTGGTAGGGAGGGTGGGGTTTGGAGAGGGTGTTCCATAGGGTCTCCGCTGCTCTGGAATTAAGGTGGTAACTTTTGGAGAATAGATTCTGGAGTCGCCAACCTCTTTGGGGCTGTAGACAATCTGGGCCTTAGGGAGGCAGTGACCCATCTTGGTGCCTGAGCTGGAGGCATGGAACATTGGCTGGATTTTAGTGATTGGAGGCCTGCAAACTTGAGGGGCCCGGCCTGGGAGAGTGTGTCCATAACTTGAGCTTCTGGGGTCTGGGTTGTAGGCGGTTGCCTCAGGACGACCTCTCCTTGAGGACTTGCTTCTTGTCGTTTTTTTGGTGGTAGCAAATGCAAGGCTTTGGCCTGGCCCCGAGACAAGTGGAGGCCGAAGCCAATACCTATGCAGAGAGGCCCAGACTCCTGGCCCTGAGCACAGGGCAGTAGTTGAGGGAAGGCAAGAAGCCTTGCCCCCATCTTGTCCTTGGGGGTGGGGCAAGACCGGGTGCGGGGCCGGAGGCACTGTAGACAAATGGGATACTCCACGACTGGGGCCTGGCCGGGTGTGGATGTGCCGAGCCACATGCGCCGCAGAAACAGTAGCTGGAGATCTGTTGCAATTCTGCGGCGCCCCACACGGTCGGCTAGGGCTTGGGCGAGGGCCATTGGGTCCTTGAACTCTGCAGGGTCCACCTTGCTTGCCTTGCATCCCCCTGCCACTCCAAGGGACCTGGTGTTTTTGGATTGAGGACACTGCCGTGTTTGTTTGTTACTGGAAATCCCTCCAGAAGGGGGGCTGGGGCTGGGGGACGTGGCTGTGGAACTATGGATGCCCTGGAGGTGGGGAGGAGACTGGCAAGAGTGAGGAGAGGAATTTTGTACCTGGGAAAGAGAAGAGTGATGGGAAAGAGGAGGGGAGGCGCCCAGCTGGTAGTTGAGGGGAGGGGATGAGTGTCGTGAAGGAAGACAAGGGTAGTTCTGGTGAAAGAAAGTGGGGGAACTCGGGAGGGAGGAAGAGAATGGGAGGGAAACACAGTCAGAATTTGATTTGGAAGAGTTGAAGTGAGGCCCAGGAGAGTGGGGCTGTGGCAGAGAAGAGAAGGAAAAATAGGCTGGCCTGTGAGATGGCAAAGGTAGGTGGGGAGGTGGGAGGGACTGATGGGGGGAGAGAGATGCTAAGTTGGATGGAGGGGAGTCAGCAAACTGTGAGAGGACCTGAGGGGGACACCCTGGGGGTACTGTGTTCTGTAGCAGCACCTGGTCCTTGTTTTGAGGCAACATTGCCTTGAATCCAGGAAAAAAAGTGGGAGGGGCCACAAGACTAATTAGAGACCTTCCAGTTGGTGACTGCCTTCTGCCACAGCAGTGTGGCCGCTGCCTAGTTTCACTGCAGATGTCAGCAGCAGGCCAAGGGAACACGAAGCCTCTTCTGCTTGTCTCTCGCGTGCTCAGTCCGGAGCCTGCATCTAAGCTTGGCTCTTCACTTTTTCTTAGCCATTCGCTAGAGATGTACGGAAATGGGGAATGAGAGCTGTCCCTTGGGAGCCGAGGGGCAACCCTAACTCTGGGTGGAACCGAGAAGACGACCCAGTCTGGAAGACCTGCAGAGAAAAAGACAGAGATCAGGATGTTGGAACGATCGGTCCACTTCTGGACTCTGCTCCAGGCACTCAGTTCCAGTGTGAACTTATCACAACCCTAAATGTGAGGTCTTCGGGTGTAGTTCAGCTGGTAGAGCCAGCGCTTGCCTAGCATGCATGAAGTCCTGGGGTTGATCTCCAAGAGCACATAAGCATGGCATGCTGGCTATAGCTTGTATCCCCAGCAGGGACACAAGGAGATCAAGATCAACCTGGGTTACAGGCATCTGTCTCAACATAACAGCAAAGACACTAGCTGTTTGTCACCTTTGAGGTCAGAAAACCTGGCAGATGCTTTAGAGAAGGGTAAAGCAGCAGAGCAGATCAGAAGGATAGAGGAAAGGACGGAGATGGGAAAGGAATGGAGATCATAGGCAGTTTTACCAATGTGGATTCCTTCTGCTGTTTCCAAGACACTTCCTCAAAAAGGGAAGAGAAAGCAGAGTCACAAAACGGTCTCCTCTGCCTCCAGCCTCTGACCCCTACACAGACTCTTACCCTGAATTCCACTCCTAGTGGTGCCTCAAGGCCTCTGTCAGGCAGAGCTCTTCTGTGGTGCAGGGTTTTGTCCCTCTATCCCTGACACACAGATTTTGTAAGCATCCTGACTTCCTGGCATGCTGGCTCCCCTGGTCACTTGTCACCCTTCACATGGTGTCCCTCTCACTCAACCTGGCCTTGACAGAGGTGATTGTCAGACCCAGTAGGGTCAGCAGGTAAATGGCTCCCAGAGACTAAAGCTTTGCCTAAGGGGCAGCATTGCTGCCCCCAGTAGGAGCTGAGGGGCTCATTCCCTGGAAGCGGCTTTCTCTGGTATCAAAAGCCTATGTCACAGAGGCTTTCTCTGGTATCAAAAGCCTATGTCACAGAGGTCAGATAATGACATCATAGATTCTGTCCCCCCTCTCCCCCCCATGCTCCAGATCTCTCTCTCTCTCTCTCTCTCTCTCTCTCTCTCTCTCTCTGTCTGTCTCTGTCTGTCTCTGTCTCTCTCTCTGTCTCTCTCTCTGTCTCTCTCTCTGTCTCTCTCTCTCCTCCTCTCCTCTTCTCCTCTCCTCTCCTCCTCTCCTCTCTCTCTAAGACAGGGTTTCTTTGTGAAGCCTTGGCTATCCTAGAACTAGCTCTGTATACCAGGCTGGCCTTAAACTCAC